GGGTCAAGGTCCTATTATAAACCTGATTTAGCTTTCCTAGAGTTCAGAAATCCCTTGTTGTGCTGTGGATCTCATTGTTCTCTTTGGGGTTCTCATCAGTACCATTTCATAATGAAGGGGAAGTCCAATTGCTATGGTGGATTCAAAGAAAGTAGTTCAAATATTTATGAACATATATAATTTTTTTGTTGACAAATTCCTATTAATAATAGTAATGCATAACTTTGTCTCTTTCTCTCTCTCTCCAATTAATGTGCATAATTTCTTGGTTTATATTATAATTATGAAAATTTGACGTTGTCATGGTGTATCAAGGGGCTTATAAGTATGAGAGTAATGCTATTAGTCAATGAAAAGACTCCATATGAAAGAAATAAAGTTGTCAATAGAAAAAAGGCCATTTTTATTAATAAAAGAGTATTTGTAATTTGCATAGTATATATACATGAACTAAACTCTGATAGTTCATCAATAGTTACAAAGAAATGAGCTTAAACATGGCAGGATACAAGCCCCTACACTTCCTTCTGCTCTTAGCATCACAATGTCCTTTTGCACTAGTAGTTTGAGTCCTTAATAACCAAAGGACTGAAAGTATTTTAAAAGCAGTCCTATCAACACCAATACATTTATGTATAAATTTCATTACAATTTTTGCTATGAGGTCTTCTTCTCCTTCCGCAAAAATGGTTGTGGTTTCTAGAAATGCTAATAGGGCGACAAATTGGATATATAGTAATTTCAAAAGATTCATATAAAACATGTTTCCATCCCCTGTGATTTTGATAACACCAACATCTATCTTCTTTTTCTTGATCTACATTTTCGAGGAAACACCCACAAGTGTGATGAATACTTAGGTAGTTGGGTTGCTATTCCACAAGGTTGCCACTCCTCTAGACATGGGTAATAATGATGGCAACAACATGACAAATTGTCAATAAAGGATCAATATTTTCTAGTTTATATAAATCCCAAATGAAACATTTCCTTTACCAAAAAAGGGGAAACCTTCTGGAAAAGCTTAATACTAATATCTGTCAAGAAAAAAAGCCTTAGTAAAACCTCACTTCGACAGTTCTACAAACACATGGTATGCATAGTTTAAAGAGAGACTAATCTTTCAAACCTTGTCTAGTTAAAACCCAAAAATTTGTTACTGATCATCCACCAATCATTTTAAGAAACTCTAGCAATAACTTCAATAACACATATCACCCAAACACTACAATTAATCATATTATTTACCTTGGTTAACCATCCATTTGAGTCTTCCTCTACTTTATTACTTCTTAAATTGAGAGCTTTATGATGTAAATCCAGGTTTGACTTTTGGCGTAGTTCGTATCACTCTAGGACCTTGACTAGACCAACGATTAATTTTGCAGACGAAATTGAGGTTGCTTGCACCGCTTGAAACAATTTAGGACCGATTAACCAACTTTACAGCATGATTTCGAGGGCAAGCAACTATTGTAACTAATTCCGGTTACAACCAATTCTTTTAGTAGAAATCCCTATAAAATGAATCCAAAAGGAGATTAAGAGGAAATTCCCAATGGTAGAAATCCCCACAAAAATTCTAAGGAACAATCGAAAAGGAAATTGAAGGCAAAAATACGTTGAGATCAGGAATTATTGATGCAGTCAATAAATTGAAGGAAGTGAAAGAGAAGAATGGGTAATGATATCTGTTGTTGGGAAACGCAAGAAGAGAGGAGAGAATAGAAGGAATTAGGAACAACAAGTTAATTCTTTTTAAAGAAAAGCCATGTCAGCGAACAACATGGCAAGCCACGTCATTTGACCCCTTCTTCGACCCAAATATCATTACCCGAGAAAGATTTGAGAGGAAATTTTAAGATAAATAATGTGATATAAGTTATGTTATTAAATTAATTAATATATATAATATTATGAACTTTAAAAAATA